TCCTAGACCTGTGAATATGTTACCTTACATGCCAAAAGAGACTTCGTATGTGACTGAGTTAAGGATCTAGAAATGAAGAAATAATCTTGGATTTTCCAGATTGACTCAATATAATCATTAAGATTCTTATAACAGAAAAGCAGGATAATCAGTGGCACGGAGAAAACATATGACAATGACAGCATAAGTTGGAAGAAAGAGACCACAAGCCAAAGAATACAGTAGGTGTCTAGAAGGTAGAAAAGGCAAGGAAATGGATTCTCTCCTAAATCCAGAGGAAGCACAGCCCAGCTAATACCTTGATTTCAGTCCAGTGAAACCAATTTCGGACTTCTAGTCTCCGGAATTGTAAAGTAATAAATTTGTGTTGTTTTAAGTCATTTGTTTGTGTAAATTATAGCAGTGGTAGAATATTAATACTCTACCTGACATTTTTCTTGTTTTATTTATTTGTTATTTATCATCTGTCTCCCCGTACTAGAATGTAAACGCCATAGGACAAGAGCCTTGTTTTTTTATACTCACTGTTTACATTCTTAGAGCAATATATAATAGGCACTCAATAAGTTGAATTGAGTGAATAATTGTTTATCATGTGTAAATTTTGCATTTTGTCTGTCAAAGAGTTATGTCCCTAGACAACCTTTATGCTTTCTGATTGTGAAAAAAAGAAATGTTTGATAAAGATAAAAATACATTGATCATTCTAATCTCAGTGTCGGAGGACAGTTGTAACTTAGATTCTCCTGTACTAAAAATATGTTCGTTCTCATCCTGAGTTAGCACCCTCATAAGGACATGATGTACCTTGATATTTGTAATTCTTTGCCAAGGCACATGCTGTTGGTTACTAATTTGATTATCTTGACCTCCACGTATAATATTAACCCCAGAGTTGATATGATTATTTTTAGAGCTATAAACAGCAAGAATGATGATGGAGTTGCCCTAACTTTATCTGGAGTTTATTGGATTTTTAAAAAGTTTACATTAAGATTCACACTTAGTGTTGTACATCCTGTGGGTTTTGACAAATGTACAATGACATGTATCCACCATAAGTATCATAAAGAAGAATTTTACTTCCCAAAAAATCTCTTGTGTTACATTTACCCCTTCCTCTCCCCAAATCCTGATAACCACTGATCTTATTATTGTCTTTGTAGTTTTGCTTTTTGCAGCAAAATATAAAAAATATTTTCCTGAAAATATTCCCAGTGGTATGGATATACCATGTTTTATTTATTCATTCATCAGCTGATTAATGGAGTATTAAGTTTCCACTTTTTATTATGAATAGCACTGCTATGAGCATTTATGTAAAAGTATTTGTGTGAGCATATATTATTACGTATCTTGATTTTATCCTAAGAGTGAACTGTCTGGTCACATGGCCAATCTATATTTAACATTTTCAGAGAATGCCAGACTACTGCACAAAGTAGATGCACCATTTTACACTCTCACTGGCAGTGTATAATAACTTCACTTTACCCACATCCTTTCCAACACTTGCTATTATCTGTCTTTTTGACTACAGCTGTCCTATTGGGTATGAAGTGGTATCCCAAAGTTTTATTTATATTTCCCTGAGAGCTAACATGTTGAACATTTTTCATGTGCTTCTAGCCATTTTTATATTTTCTTTAGAGAAATGTCCTTTGCCCATTTATTATTTGAGTTACCTATATTATTGAATTTTAAAAGTTATTTATATATTCTGGATATATGTCTTTAACAGACATATAGGATTTGAAAATGTTTTAGGTATGATTATGACTTCTAAGCAAAACGGATCTGATATCTTTTCATATTGCCAAATGTATTAGTCCATTTTCACACTGCTGATAAAGACATACCCAAGACTGGGCAATATACAAAAGAAAGAAGTTTAATGGACTTACTGCTCTAAGTATCTGGGGAGGCCTCACAATCTTACATGGATAGCAGCAGGCAAAGAGAGAGCTTGTGCAGGGAAACTCTGCCTTACAAAGCCATCAGATCTCATAAGACTTATTCACTATCATAAGAACAGCACGGGGAAGACCCACACTCATTATTTGATTACCTCCCACTGGGTCCATCTCACAACATGTGGGAATTTAAGATGAGATTTGGTTGGGGACAGAGCTAAACCATATCATTCTTCCCCTGGCCCCTCCCAAATCTCATCTTTAAAAATTCCCAAATTTGAAGAGAAATTTGGACATCCATAACCCGGAAACTTAAAAATTCCAAAATAGATTCAACCCAAAAAGAGATTCTTAAAGGCACAAAATAGTCAAAGTGTCAAAAATCAGCACAAAGGGAGAATTCTAAAAACTGCAAGAGAAGAAAAGCATCAATTCATGTATAAGGAAATTCTTACTTGACTGACAGATTTCTTTGCAAACACCTTATAAGCCAGGATAAAATATGATGATACACTTAAAGTGCTGAAAGAAAAAAAGAAGCCAACTAAATTACAATACTTAGAAAAGCCATCCTTCAAAAATGAGGAACAAATAAAATCTTTCTCAGACAAGCAATAAATGAAGAAATTCATCACCACTAGACTGGCTTTACAAGAGGCGTTCAAGGTAGCCCTGTATCTAGAAATAAAAATATGATAATTACTATCATGAAAACATGGAGAACTACACAAAGCTCTGGTAGAACAAATACACAAAAGAAAAGGACAAAAGAATAAAATCTGATCACCATAAAAAACCACCATATCACAATGAAAAACAATAAGAGAGGAAGAAAGAACCAAAGAATATACAAAATCACCAGAATACAATTAACAGATGATGAGAGTAATTGCTCACCAAAAAATAATAATTTATAAATGGATTAAATCCCCCACTTAAAAGATACAGTGTAGCTGAATGGATTTTTTTAAATGACCCAACTATATGCTACCTATGAGAAACTCACTTCACTGGTAAAGATGCGTACAGATTGAAAGTGAAACGATAGTAAAAAATATTTCACTCAAATGAAAACAAAAAGCAATCAAGAGTAGCTACTATACTTACATTGGATAAAACAAGCTTTAAGTAAAAGACTAAAAAAAAAAGACTAAAAGGTCATTATATAATACTTAATAAATAAATTCAGAAATAAATAAATACAATATACCAATTGTGAATATATATGCATGAAGCACCAGAACACGTGGATATATAAAGCAAACGTTATTAGATATAAAAGAAGAGACACACTCCATTTATAGATTGGTACTTCAACATGCCACTCACAGCATTGGATAGATAATCTAGGAACAAAATCCACAAAGAAACATTGGATTTAAACTTAACATTAGACCTAATAGACATTTACAAAGCATTTCATCCAACAGCTGCAGAATTCACATTCTTCTCATGAACACATGGAACATTCTCCAGAATAAACCACATGTTACGTCATAAAACAAGTCTCAACAAATCCTTTTTAAAATTGAAATTATCAAGTATCTTTTCTTGTATCAATGAACTAAAACTGAAATCAATAATTAGAAACTTTTGAAAGGTACAAATATATAGAAATTAACCAATATGCTCCTGAACAACTAATGAGTCCATGAAGAAATTAATTAGGAAATTTAAAACGTTCTTAAAACAACTAAACCTATGGGATATAGCAAAACTATATTATTATATATATAACTATATTATTATACAGTAATAAGTTGAAGTTTATAGCAATCAGTACCTACACGAAAAAAGTAAAAAGATTTCAAGTAAACAGCCGAATGATGTATCTCAAGGAATCAGAGAAAGCAAAAACAAGCGAAAGCCCAAATTAGTGGAGAAAAATAAATATTAAAAATAAGAGCATAAATAAAATAAAACTAAAAAAAAATCAAGAAAATGAAAAAAGTTGACTTTTTGAAAACATAAACAACATTGACAATCTTTACTTAGACTAAGAAAAAAAAGAGAGAAGACTCACACAAATAAATTAGAAACAAAAAAATATAATTGATACCACAGAAATACAAAGGATCATTAGAGATGACTATGAATAACCATACAACAAAATGGAAAATCTATAGGAAAAGAAAAAAATCCCTGGACATATACAACCTAACAAGATTGAACCAGGAAGAAATACAAAACCTGGACAGATCAATAAGAATATGGAGATTGAACCTGTAATAAAAAGTCTCCCATTTCACTCTGTAGTCCATCTTGAGTTAATTTTTGTATAAAGTGTAAGAAAGGGGTTGATATGGTTTGGCCAGGTCCCCACCCAAATCTCATCTTGAAGAGTAGCTCCCATAATTCCCAAGTGTCATGGGAGGGGTCTAGTGGGAAGTAACTGAATCATGGGAGCAGGTCCCCATGCTGTTCTCGTGATAGTGAATAAGTCTCATGAGATCTGGTGATTTAATAAAGGGGAGTTCCTCTACACACATTCTCTTGTCTGCCACCATGTAAGACATGCCTTTGCTCCTCGTACATCTTCCACCTTGATTGTGAGACCTCCCCAGCCATATGAAACTGAGAGTCCATTAAATCTCTTTTTCTTTATAAATTACCCAGTCTTGAGTATGTCTTTATTAGCAGCTGAGAACAGACTAACACAGGGGTCTAATTTCAATTTTCTGCATATGACTAGCCAGTTTTCCCAGCACCATTTATTAATTTCAACTTTCTGCATATGACTACCCAGTTCTCCCAGCACCGTTTATTAAATAGGGAATCTTTTCCCCATTGCTTGTAAAACCCAAAACTATAAAAACTCTGAAGAAAATCTAGGCAAATACCACTTAGGACATAAGCACAGGCAAAGATTTCATGATGAAAACACCAAAAGCAATTGCAACAAAAATAAAAACTGACAAAGGGAATCTAATTAAACTAAAGAGCTTCAGCATAGCAAAAAACCTCTCAGAGTGAACAGACAACCTACAGAATCGGAAAAAAATTTTACAATCTACTCATCTGACAAAGGTCTAATATCAAGAGTCTACAAGTAACTTAAACAAATTTACAAGAATAAAACAAACAACCTCCTCTTTTTCCGGCTGGAACCATGGATGGTGCGGAAGAGGAGAAGAAGGAGGTTCCTGCTGTGCCAGAAACCCTTAAGAAAAAGGGAAGGAATTTCGCAGAGCTGAAGATCAAGCGCCTGAGAAAGAAGTTTGCCCAAAAGATGCTTCGAAAGGCAAGGAGGAAGCTTATCTATGAGAAAGCGAAGCACTATCACAAGGAATATAGGCAGATGTACAGAACTGAAATTCGAATGGCGAGGATGGCAAGAAAAGCTGGCAACTTCTATGTACCTGCTGAACCCAAATTGGCGTTTGTCATCAGCATCAGAGGTATCAATGGCGTGAGTCCAAAGGTCCGAAAGGTATTGCAGCTTCCGCGCCTTCGTCAAATCTTCAATGGAACCTTTGTGAAGCTCAACAAGGCTTCAATTAACATGCTGAGGATTGTAGAGCCATATATTGCATGGGGGTACCCCAATCTGAAGTCAGTAAATGAGCTAATCTACAAGCGTGGTTATGGCAAAATCAATAAGAAGCGAATTGCTTTGACAGATAACGCTTTGATTGCTCGATCTCTTGGTAAATATGGCATCATCTGCATGGAGGATCTGATTCATGAGATCTATACTGTTGGAAAACGCTTCAAAGAGGCAAATAACTTCCTGTGGCCTTTCAAATTATCTTCTCCACGAGGTGGAATGAAGAAAAAGACCACCCATTTTGTAGAAGGTGGAGATGCTGGCAACAGGGAGGACCAGATCAACAGGCTTATTAGAAGAATGAACTAAGGTGTCTACCATGATTATTTTTCGAGTCTCGTCAGTTTAATAAACAGTACCTGCTCTCAAAATGATAAAAAAAAAAAAAAACACCTCATTAAAAAGTGGGCAAAGGACATGAACAGACACTTCTCAAAAGACATTCATGCAACCAAAAACATGAAAAAAGCTCAACATCACTGATCATTAAGGAAATGCAAATCAAAACCACAAAGAGATACCATCTCACAGCAGTCAGAATGGCAATTATTAAAAAGTCAAGAAACAACAGATGCTGGCAAGGTTGCGGAGAAAAAGGAATGCTTTTACACTATTGGTGGGAGTATGTAAATTAATTAAACCATTTTGGAAGACAGTGTGGTAATTCCTCAAAGATCTAGAAGTAGAAATACCATTTGACCCAGCCATCCCATTACTGAGCATATACCCAAGGGAAAATAAATAATTCTATTATAAAGATACATGCACACATATGTTCATTGCAGCACTATTCATAATAGCAAAGACATGAAATCAATCCAAATGCCCATCAAAAATAGACTGGATGAAGAAAATGTGCTACATATATACCATAGAATACTATGCAGCCATAAAAAGGAACTAGATCATGTCCTTTGCAGGGGCATGGATGGAGCTGGAAGCCATTATCCTCAGCAAACTTATGAAGAAACAGAAAACTATACACCACTTTGTTATCACTTATAAGTGAGAGATGACCAACGAGAAAACATGAATACATAGTGGGGAACAAGACACACTGAGACCTGTTGGGGAGGTGGTGAGTATAGCATCAGAAAGAACAGCTAATGGATGCTGGGTTTAATACCTAGGTGATGGGAGTTGATCTGTACAGCAAACCACAATGGCAAACATTTACCTATGTAATAATCCTGTACATCCTGCACATGTACCCTGGAACTTAAAGTTGAAAAAAAGACTCCTAGCAAAGGAAAGCCCAGGACTGAATGGTTTCATTGCTGAATTCTATCAAACTGTTTTTTTTTTTTTTTTTTTCAAGATAGAGACTTGCTATGTCACCAAGGCTGGAGTGTAGTGTAGGGGTGCAATCTTGGCTCACTGCAACCTCCACCTCCTGGGTTGAAGCAATTTTCCTGCCTCAGCCTCCCAAGTAGCTGGAATTACAGGCACCCACCACCACGCCTGTCTAATTTTTGCATTTTTAGTAAAGATGGGGTTTCACCATATTGGCCAGGCAGGTCTCGAACTCCTGACCTTATGATCTGCCCGCCTCAGCCTCCCAAAGTGATGGGATTACAGGCATAAGCCACTGCACCTGGCCTACCAAACTTTTAAAAGAGAACCAACACCCATTCTTTTCAAACTATTTTTGAAAATTGAGGTGAAGGAAATTTTTTCAGTCTCTTTCTATGACACAAGCATTACTCTGATACCAAAACCAAATTAGAAAAAAAAAAAAAAAAAAAAAAAAAAAAAAAAAAAAAAAAAAAAAAAAAGAAAGAAAAAGAAAGCACACACATGAAAGAAAAAAATACAGTTCAATATCCTTGATGAACATAGATCAAAAAAACTCAATAAAATAATAGTATGAAATTCAACAGCAGGGATGGTTTAACATTTACAAACAATAAATGTGATATATCACATCAACAGAACAAAGAAAAAAAGCCATATAATCCTCTCAATAGACCAAAAAACATTTGAGAAAATTAAACATCTCATCATAATAAAAACATTCAACAAGTTATATATAGAAAGAATGTACTTCAATGCAATTAAGGACATGTATGACAAACCCACAGCTAACGTTACGCTGAATAAGAAAATGTTAAAAGCTTTTCCTCTAGGAACTAGAACCAGACAAGGATGCTCACTTTCACCACTCTTATTCAACATAATACTGAAAGTCCTAACCAGAGAAATAGGAAGTCAAGTTGTCCCTGACTGCAAATGGTATAATCTTATATATGGAAAAGCCTAAAGACCTCCCACAAAAATATCTTAGAATTAATAAGCAAAATCAACAAAGTTCCAAGATATAAAAATCAATGTACAAAAATCAGTAGCATTTCTATACACAAATAATGAACTAGGAGAAAAAGAAATCAAGAAACCATCCCATTTAAAACAGCTAAAAAATAACTTAGTAACAGACAATTAAGGAGATGAAAATTCTCTATAATGAAAACTGTAAAACACCAATTAAAGAAACTGAAGCAGACACACAAAAAATGAAAAGACAGCCAATGTTCACATATTACAAATTTTTTTTCTAATGATTATACTACCAAAAGCAATAAACAGATTTAATGCAATCTCTATCAAAATATCAATGTCACTTGTCATGAAAATAAAAAAAAAAAAATCCATAAATTTGTGTGGAAGTAAAAAAGGCCTCAAATAGCCAAAGCAATTCTGAGGTAAAGAACAAAGCTGGAGGCATCACACTACTGTCTTCAAAATATACCACAAAACTATAGCAACCAAAACAGCAAGGTACTGGCATGGAAACAGAAACATAGGCCAATAAAACAGAATACAGAACCCAGAAATAAATCCATGTATCTACAACCAACTTAATTTTGAGAAAGGTGACAAGAACATATTAATATATTGAGAAAGGGATAGTCTTTTTAAAAAATGGTGCTGGGAAAACTGGATATTTATAGGCAGAAGAAAAAACTAGACTTCAATCTTTCACAATATACAAAACTCAACCAAAATTGAATACAGTCTTAAATGTAAGACCTAAAACTATAAATCTACTTGAAGAAAACAGGACACCAGTCTTATTCGACACCATAAGCACAGACAACAAAAACAAATATAGATAAATGAGACTGTATCAAACTAAGAAGTTTCTGCACAGCAAAGAAAACAGTCAACAGAGTGAAAAGACAACCTGCAGAATAGGAGGAAATATTGGCAACGTATTTATCCAAGAAAAGATTAAAATTCAAACAAGAAATACAACTCAGTAACAATAACAACAAAAAAAACCCCAAATGCTTTTAAAAATGCACCAATGAGCTGACTATACAGCTCTCAAAGAAAACATACAAATGGCCAATAGGTATACGAAAAATGCTTTACATCACTAAGCAAGGAGATGCAAATCACAAACACAATATCATCTCACTGCAGTTAGAATGGCTATTATCAAAAAGACAAAAAAAGCTTTTGGTGAGCATACAGTCTTCTTCTGGGATTCTTATACACTGTTGGTGGAAATGTTAAGTTATTACATCCATTAGGAAAAAAGTATGGAGGTTCCTCAAAAAACTACAAATAGAACTATCATATGTTTGAGCACTCTCACTACTGTTTATATATCCAAAAGAAAGAAAGAAAATCAGTATGTTGAAGAGTTATCTGCACTCCTGTGTTCACTGCAGCACTGTTCACAGCAGCCAGGTATGGAATCAATCTAAGTGTCCATTAACAGATGAATGGAAAATTTCTTCCCAGAAGATTTTCAAAGATTTACTCAGATCCATTAGAAGAATTACTATGTCAACGCTAGCCTTATTCAATGTTTGTCTTAAATAATAACATATGAAAGCCAAAATTACTCCTTGATCCATGGGCTGCAGAATGGATATTGTGTTAGCAGGTATGTAAACAACATTAATCTTTTATATCTCTATCAGAGCTCTTGGATGACCAGGTAAATTGTCAGGGAGCAATAAGATTTTGAAAGGAATCTTTTCTGTGCAGTAGGTCTCAACACTGGGCTTGAAATACTCAGTAAACCGTACTGTCAACAGATGTGTCATCATCCAGGCTTTGTTGTTCCATTTATAACAGCACAGCCAGAGTAGATGTAGCATAGCTCTTAAGGGCCGTAGGATTTTTGGAACTGTAAATGAGCCTTGGATTCCATTTAAAGTCACCAGCTGTATTAGCCTCTAACAGAAGAGTCAGTCCGTCCTTGAAGTCAGGCATTATCTTCTCCTCTCTAGCTATGAAAGTCCTACGTGGCATCTTCTTCCAATGTGAATCTATTTCATCTACATTGAAAATGTTTTGTTTAGTGTAACAACCTTCATCACTTATCTTGGCTAGATTTCAGGATAATTTGCTTCAGCTTCTCTATCAGCACTTACAGTTTCATCTTGTACTTCAGCTTCTATATCAACACTTACTGTTTTATCTTGTTCTTTGATGTTACAGAGATGTCTTATTTCCTTAAACCTCACGAATCAACCTATGCTAGTCTTCAAACTTTTCCTCTACAGCTTCTTTACCTCTCTGACTTCACTGAATTGAAGAGAGTTACAGCCTTGCTCTGGATTGGGCTTTAGCTTAAGAGAATGTTGTGGCTGCTTTTATCTATTCAGACCACTAAAATTTTCTGTATATCAGCAACATGGCTGTTTTGCTTCCTTGAACTTTTTAATTTCCTTCAAGAACTTTTCCTTTGCATTCATAATTTGGCTATTTAGTGCAAGAGGCCTAGCTTTCAGCTTATCTCAGCTTTCAACATGCCTTCCTCACTAAAGCTTAATCATTTTTAGTTTTTGATTTAAAGTAAGAGATATGCAACTTCTCTTTTCCTTAAATACTTACAGCCCATTGTAAAGGTATTAATTGGCCTAATTTCAATATCGTTATGTCTCAGAGAATAAGGAGGCCCAAGGAGAGAGAAAGAAATGGGGAAACACGAAGTTGATTGATGTAGCAGTCAGAACGTATTTATTAAATTTGCCATCTTGTATGGACATAATTTGTGGTGTCCCAAAACAATTATGATAACAACAAAGATTTCTGATTACAGATCATCATAAAAGACATAATAATATTGTGCATGAAATACTGCAAGAATTATCAAAATGTGACACAGAGACATGAAATAAGCACACGCTCTTGAAAAAATGGCATTGATAGACTTGCTCCACACAGGGTTGCCACAAACCTTTAATTTAAAACAATGCAATATCTGTGATACATGATAAAATGAAGCACAATAAAATAAGGTGAGCCTGTTTTGTACATGAATATTCATAGCAGCATTATTAATAATAGTCAAAAAGAGGAAATAAATGTTCATCAACTGACAAATGATAAATAAAATGTGGTATATCCATACAATAGA